CAGTTTCTTTTTCAGAGACTCTGGTCCAAAGACTATAACTTCTGTTTTGTCTGCATTCAGGAGCAGAAAGTTAAGTCATCCAGGTTTTTATGTCTTCAAGACATGCCTGTAATCTATGTAATGGGTTAGCTTCATCTGGATTTATAGACAGATATAGCTGGGTATCATCAGCGTAACAGTGGAAATTAATCCCATGCTGTCTAATAATTCTACCAATTGGGAGCATGTATAAAGTAAAGAGAATTGGTCCTAGCACTGATCCCTGTGGTACTCCACAGGTAACCTTTGAGCGTGTTGAAGATCTATCATTAACATGAACAAACTGAATTCGATCAGATAGATAAGATTTAAACCAGTCTAGTGCTGTTCCTTTAATTCCAACAAAATATTCAAGTCTTTCTAAAAGAATATTATGGTCAACTGTATCAAATGCAGCACTAAGATCCAACAGGACGAGCACAGATACAAGTCCATTATCTGAGGCCATGAGAATATCATTAGTGACTTTCACCAGAGCTGTTTCAGTGCTATGATGAGCTCTAAAGCCAGACTGAAACTCTTCAAAAAGTTCATTATGGTGGAAGTGATCGCAAACTTGTTTGGCAACTACTTTCTCAAGAATTTTGGATAAGAAAGGAAGATTGGATATAGGTCTATAATTGACCAAGTCATCTGGGTCAAGAGACGGTTTCTTAAGCAGAGGTTTAATTACAGCAACCTTAAAAGCTTTAGGTACATATCCCTGTAACAGAGATAGATTAATCACATCTAAAATGGAGGAGGAGATCAAAGGGAATACCTCCTTAAATAACCTGGTTGGAACTGGATCTAACATACAAGTTGAAGGCTTAGATGAAGACAATAATTTTGCTAATTCAGAGAGTTCAACTGGATCAAAGCAGTCTAAACCCGGTTCAGATTCCATGACTACCTCAGGTACAATCGCGGATAGAGGAGTGCTTATGATCTTATTTTTAATAAGATCAATCTTATTTATAAAGAATCCCATAAAATCATTGCTGCTAAGAGCAGGTGGAATGGACGGTTCAACAGAGCTATGGCTCTGGGTGAGTTTGGCAACTATTAAAAAGAAATCTAGGATTATTCTTATTCTCCTCTATTAATGAGGAGAAGTATGCTGCTCTTGCTTTACAAAGAGTCCTCTTATACAGCAGTAAACCATTTTTCCAGACTAGGAAGGACTCTCGCAGGCCTGTGGAGCGATATTTTCTCTCCAGTTTCCTAGCATTTTGCTTCAAAGTACGCAGCTCTGCATTAAACCAAGGAGCAAGCTTTCTATTTTTAACGGTTTTCATTTTCAAAGGAGCTGCGTTGTCTAAGGCAATACGCAGAGAACTAGCAACCCCATCAACAAAATCATCAACCTGTGAAGGGGAATAAGCTAAGCTTTTGCACTCTGCAGCACTGCTCAGTGACACAGAGGAGAGAGAAAGTGAAGCAGATTCTTTAAAATTTATAACTGCACTATCTGATAAAGATCTACTAAAATTGAACCTTCTTTTGGGGGAGGAGAACTCTGTTAAAGTAATCCTGAAGGTTATTGGAAAGTGGTCAGAGAGGACAGGGTTGTGAGGAAATACTGTTATTTCTTCACATTCTATGCCGTATGTCAGCACAAGATCCAAAGTATGAAGATGAGAATGCGTGGGACTATTCACATTTTGAACAAAGCCAATAGTGTCTAAGATAGCATTAAAGGCTGCTCTTAAGCTATCGCCTTCAATGTCAGCATGGATGTTAAAATCTCCCACTATGATGACCCTGTCAGTATTTAATACCAAATCAGAAAGGAACTCTGAAAACTCATCTAAAAATTCAGAGTAAGGACCTGGTGGACGATACAAAGTTACAAAAAGAAGAGGTTTTCTTGCCTTGAAATTTGGATCAGGGAAATTAAGGGTTAAATGTTCAAAAGAGTTGTAGGTATTAATTGTTTTGGGAGTAATCAGTAAGTAAGCCTGGAAGATTGTTGCTACTCCTCCTCCTCGCCCAGAACTTCTGGGGATGTGAAAATTTAAATAGCTTGAAGGAGTTGCCTCATTTATGCTCACATAATCCTCTTGCTGCAGCCAGGTTTCTGTAAGGCAAAACAAGTCAATGTGATTATCACAAATCAAGTCATTAACTAGTAGACTTTTAGAGGAAAGCGATCTTATGTTAAACAGACCGCATTTAATTGTTTTAACTTTTTCCCCAATTGGAGTTATTTTTATTTTAATTAGATTATCATGATTTACTCCTTTGGGAATCTTTGCTAATTTATTAGATTTTGGTCGTGGGCAAGACACTGTCTGGATGGAGTAAAGAGTGGGTAACAGTAGAGAAGCTGCAGAGATGTGTGTTAAACTACAACTCTGCTTCCTGGTCTGCGGAAGCAGACCAGGAAGCAGGTACTATACCCTCAATCCTGCTTCCTGAACATTTCATGTTCAGGAAGCAGGTACTATAACTATCCCTCAATGAATCCCTATTCATTGAGGGATAGTTATAGTAGTTATTTTACCCCAGTGTCCCATTCCAGAACAAGTTGAATAACTAAGTGGGTTGCAGATAGATATTCATTTATTTTACAAAAAGTCTTTTTTGTCTCATTGTGTCCCTGAAAATGTTTTCAGGGACACTTTTACAACTTTTTACATTTTATTAATGTCCTCTACATATTACTGATGCTAAAAACCCCTTTAGGGGGGGGTCACTCTGAGGCGTGATATTGCTTGCCCATCTTGTAGTGCACAAGCACACATTGGTTGTTTGCTAATCGGGAATCTAAGAAGAGGATTTTTTGACTAGTGAAAATTCTTTTACCTCTTCCAGTCTTTTTTATGTTTTAGCTGCAGTCTGTAACTGAGGAGTCATTTTTCCCTTTAGCTGCCAGAACATTATTACCAGTTAATGGTATTTTCCCCCCTCTCGCCTTGATGTCTGCCTGCACACATTAGCAGGCTTCTCCTGCTCCGCTGAAATATACAGCATTCTGCTGGTTGATTGAAAAGTAATAACAGGTGTGAGATTTTAATCCTTTTCACAATGAGCATTTGTCAGTCTCATGTGTCATACTCATTGTGCAACTATCTTGCATGTTTGTCCCACTCCATCATTATGAGGATTATTGAAAATTGGGCCAAGGTGATAGAGGCAGAGAGGAGGGTATTGTTGTTTCTCTTTCTTTTGCTCTTTGGATTATTCTTCATTAGCCTTACTGCTGAATGTTTTCTGTGTTTTCCATGAATTAACCCCTAAACCCACTCCCATCCCTCAATGTCCCTGACCTGCTCTTCTTTCACATTCATTCTGACCCCTCCATTTTGCATCAGTTGCAGCCCTACAGGAAGACCATGCAAACCAAGGGAGAAGCATATCCTTCATCTTCTTTCAGTCTGTTAAGCAAGAGATTTATAATCTTTTTTTGACTAGGTTTTTATCAGTTTGTGTATTTCAGGGCATCCGTCCCCCTCCCCTCTGCTCTGCTAAGATTAGGCTTTGTGTGCTGCAGAATGTGAGTAGACAGTAGTCTGTGGCTGTAACAGATGGGTCTGAGTGTTTTTCTGTGAGTACAAAGCAACACAGCTCTGTGTCTGACAGCTTTTCTGTGTCAAACGGATATTCTCACGTGTGACATAATCATAATCTGGTTAAATCAGGTGTCGCCAATCGGCCCCAAGGCCGTTTGTACTCTGTGTGTACAGAGGCAGCTGACATGATGTTCACTTATTTGTCTTGGTAGTCGACCAATTGGGATTCATTTTTACAAGACATTGTGGTTAACCCTAATAGTAGAGAGCTTTTAAAGGCTTGAGAGTTTATTTTTATACAACCCAACTCCCCTGCTCCGGGGGATGGTCATGAGGGTGTAGCTGGTCACAGCCTGAGCCAAAATACAGCTTATACCTCTGGAACAGTATGACAGGACTTCAGGGGTTTGGAAAATGTGAACTCTTCATATAACATAAAATTAGTAATCGAACCATGCCTAATTGTCTAAATTAATTATTACACCCTTAGTCATATCACCAGGATAATCTAGGGGTGTAGGATTTCCAGAAAAAACTTTGTCTACAGACTAAGCTGGGAACCATGATTATGGAAGAAATCATAAACACAAGCATTATTTTCAATCTGCATTATTTTCCTCCAGCCTTCTATTGCACTCAATTTCTATTTATTTAGATTTTATTTACTTGAATATATTTTGTTGATGTCACAAGATACAACAGTTTGTCTTTTTTATCTTTTTTTTATCGTTTTAGAAATGTAAAACAATGAGGAAAGAAACCCCAATACATTTTCCCCATGAGAAAAACATTAAGAAGAAGAAGAAACTTTTTTTATAGTTAAAGAAATTGGTCCAAAGTTAAGTTTGGTTCTCTGATCAAACTAAAAAAAAGTCACCCTACCAAACTGGCCAGATGGGAGTTACAGTTTGGCTTTCTACTGTAGTGTGAAGCCATCTTTTCCATTTTGAGGCGAAATTGCAGATTTGACTTTTAATCTATCATTTGAGTTAAAACTACTGTTTCCTCAGATAATTTATTTGGGGAAAAAAGTCTGCAAACATAAAGCCATAGCAGACAGTATATAAACTTTGAGACAGCTGGTTTCTTTTAGTGTTGCGCCGACGCCATTTTTTGGCCCCGATACCTGGCTGTGCAGTATCGGCCGATACCGACTCCATAATAACGTAAAATAATTGCCATCATGGCTTCGTCAAGCTGCTGCCTACCTTTGTGAAGCAGGAAAAAATCTAATACAAAGTGAATCCAGTAGAACTTTTTAAGTTCTACTGGATAATAAAAATAAAGTTTTTATTGCCTAACAGGAGTGGGTGACAATAGTTGAATAAACTTATAGCTTTCAAAATGGTATCGGTGCCCTATTTGTTGGTACTCGCTAGTGATGGGCAGATGAGGCCCCATTGGGTGTATGGCACATTTCCCAAACTGTGTCGACACTGTGTTGAAACTGTTTTGTTGTATCACTGAATGGCGACATCTGCTGGATTTAAAAAGTAATTGCAGGCAACTTCAATAAAGACTGGAAACAGACTGAACAAGGTTCTTTCACACATTTTTATTTAGAAACATCAGCTGCGTTAACATCTTTGGGCCAAGGCGATTGCGCCGCTTACAAACCATTTGTCCTGCTTTTGAGAACACCCTTTCACAGGGCACTGATGATGACGGCGTACATAAAAATGTCATTGCAAGTTTGTACAACGTAGGATAATTTAGTCTTTGCGATTTCCAGTATTGTAGTGGATCCTGTGATCTTGGTGTGTTCTCTTCGGAGATGTATCTTTGTACCTCGATAATGGCATCGGTGGTGACATTTGAATTGGCCTTGCTCTCCTTGACTTCTATGTCCAGCTGGTGCCACAGGTTGTCATCTGAGGAAATAATAAAATGCATCTGTGTTACTAATTCATAGTATTCACATGGAAGGATTTGCATGAACATTAAAATACAAATGAACAAAATTAAGAATCATACATACCTGGATTGGAATCAGATGGTTGAGTTGAAGGTCCAGCTTGGGCATCTTCCATTTGTGTTGGTATAGCGTTTCTCATTACTGCTGCACACTCTGATTTTAGTCTTTTCACTGCATCATTGGCTTTTGACGCACTTAAGAATGCCATGGTCTTGAACCGAGGGTCCAGCAGTGTTGGCATTGTCATTACACTCAATGACTCCAGGTTGCACAGAGTTTCTAGCAGTCTTCTTTTTAGGTTTTCCACAAGATTAATTGCGGTTTCCGTGGTTACATTTAATGCATTGCGTTGCAGTGAGAGGTGCAACATTTTGAGCATTGGGATTACCTTTGATCCAGACACTCTTTTTTCCTCAGACAGCTCCACTGTCGCTTGATTAAATGGAGCAAGCACACGGACTGTCTCCTCTATGATTTTATAATCATTTGTAGTGAGCTGAGGTATATCACTTTTTAAAGAAGCTAGTGATACCAACACCGACTCCTTCTGTTCTGCCATGCGTTCCAGCATTAAATATGTGCTGTTCCATCTAGTTGACACCTCATTGATTAATTTCTTCACTGGTCCTCCCATCTGTAGCTGGACTTGTGCCAGCTTCTCTTTGGCTGTAGTACTGGTTCTAAAGTATGTTACAATGTGCTTTGTTTTATTTCGGATTTCAGTGAGCGTCTCAATTTGGTCACATGATTTTCGAACTGTTAAATTCAAAGAATGCGCTATGCAAATCGTGTGCCTGATTTGGAGCTTTTTGACACATGCTACCATGTTTGCAGCCGCATCTGTGACAAGACATGTAACTTTCTCTGCTATGGCCCACTCCTGCATTAAGTTTTTCTTTACTTGGGCCATATTTTCAGCAGTGTGCTGCTGAGGGAAGTGTTCCACTCCCAACATTGATGTACACAGTGTATGGTTCTCACTGTTGACATAGTGACAGGTCACAGCCAGGTAAGCCTCCATGTTCATGGATGTCCACATGTCAGCTGTTAGGCTGACTGCAGCTGCACTCTTCAGTTCTTTTTTAATTTGCTCCTTTTTCTCCTCATACCTCTGGCTAATCATGGTCTTGATAGCCTAAAATTAATAACACAAGTGGAGTAGCTTAATGATTGATATCAAATAACATGCATATACTTCGTTAACATGTATAACAGTTAGTTTCACGTACCTTTCTGCATGGCAGAACATATGAGGGCTCAAGGAGTTGGACCAGCTCTCGGAACCCCTTGTCTTCCACAAGGCTAAGCGGCTGACAGTCTGTAATGATCATGTTCATTACAGCCTCATCAATCGCCTGCTTTCTGGAAGCACCAGGGCTAATCACGGGAGTATTAACTCGTTCTTCCATCTCATGCCGGGCACGGTAATGCCTCAGCATTGTGGAAGTGCTCCGGTTAGAGTAAGACAGCACCTGGGAGCAAATCCTACATTTCACCTACAATAGAAATAAAAGTTAATCCATGTAAACTAATTAAAATATTCTTCAGAAAGAAATTAGAATAACCAAGAGAAGAATGATCAATGGTGGAAACAAGAAAGGAATAATAATTTACCTTATTCTCAGTGATAAGATCAAAATGATCCCACACGGGTGAAAACTTCCTCTTCCTTGATTGATCCATAGTTTTAGATGACAAGCCAAAAACCAATGTAAAGCAAACAACACAAACTATCTCCATCCAACAAAACCCACAAATGTGTCGATACATTTTCTGTTTATAAATACAATTTGGCGCGTTCACAATCAAGCGACACAGGAACTGTATCGGTCACGTGGTTTTCCTTAAAGAGATACGCGCACCGACACGGGGCTTCACCTTGTTTGCTCGGCGCATGCGCCGAGGTTTCAGTGTCGTCAGACCCATCACTAGTACTCGCCGATACCGATACCACCATTTTAGGGCAGTATCGGGGACCGTCCGATACTGGTATCGGTATCGGTGCAACACTAGTTTCTTTGACAGTTTATTGAACAAAAGGTATTGCTTGCACACTTTCATGTTCAGAAACGTCCTTTTTGGGTTGAAATTTGTGAACTTAAGGCTCAGTTTAAAGCCTATTTTTGTTCTCTGCTGGGCTGCACGATGCAAGCCTTTTACTCGCATTTGTGCCAAAAAAATTTTGATTGGAGTTGGGGAAAAAAACAATAGAAGCCCGTGTATGAGTACCACTTTCATTCTTATTGTGTTCCTGAAATAAGTCAGGCTTGACATAGGTAAGACATCCTTTCGTCTTTTAGTCAAAAAAGATGAAATTTCCAAAAAGTGAAGTGGTAAATTTGTAAGGGGATAATATCATGGAACCGGTTAGGAGACGTCATTGTTGCCTGTTCATCGAGGCAGGTGAGCACAATATTACTAACTCAGCGACTTTGTGGCTATATATAGCAACTTTTCAGACAAAATCTAGCGACTACTTCCTGTCTTGACAAAACATGCATTGATAGCCCTGAGTTTAGTGTCTTCAGCGAGGAGTGAGTGAGTGAGCGAGCAAGTCCCTCCCTCCTCAAACGCTGCAGACCATTTGCAGTCAGATGGAGAAGAGCGACTCTCCTGTTTGCCCAATGGACATGAGCCACACATTAGCAAAGCTTCCACTAATCCCCCCAAAATTAATAAGTGGGATGTAAATATAACATTTCACGTTTATGAACCTTAAGATCCTCCCTGCATTTATTTTCATACACACCTCATTGAGTATGTAACTCTAGTAAACAGTAGTCGATTTGGGGAGAAAAAAAAGGGGGGGGGTTTAGTTATTTATATTCTATTAACCTAAAGCACTATGCATGGTATGGTTGTTAAATGTCAGCTATGCCAGTCATTGAGGTTGACCAAGGCACCTTACTGTAGAACTGCAGTCAGTCCCTGGACTGGCATGGCTGTCACTGCACCTACATTCTTAGGGACTAGTATTCCACTGAGATCAGCTTCATAGTCATGGTAGGTAGGGATGGAACGGTTTATGAAAACCGTACGAACCGTTCGGTTCGACTGTCTCTGTTCGGTTCACGTGTGTTTCATTCGGTTCATACGCTGCTCCTTTTTCTCATAGGCGAAGCGTTTACACTCCAGAGCAGAAGGTGGCGGTACTGCGACCAAAGCCAACCAGCAGTAGTAAACAAGAAGAAGAAGGGTGTAGCAGAAAAAAAATCTGTTGTGGAGAATTGTGTGGGTATGGCGAGTGGGAAAGAACAGGAGTTGGAAGACGTGCCAGCAGCACTTTATAGGTCTGCTGTATGGGACCGCTTTGCATTTAGAGTGACCTACGATGACGGCGGAAAGAAAGTTGTGGATAAAAGTGCAACAGTGTGCAAACATTGTGCAACACGTTTTGTTTATGCTAACAGCAACATGACCAACATGTCATGCTAACCCCGAAATCCCACATACTCCATCAGCGCTCCGCTGCGCTCCAGACTGCCTGCACAAAGCAAAGCCTACAGTAAAGTCCTGCAAGGGTCGAGTTTTACCAACCCGCACCCGCCCGAACCCGTTAGGATGACTACCGAACCCGACCCATCACCCGCGGATATCTTCAATTCAAATCCGAACCCGAAACGACCCGTTGATATTTAACCGGCATCCCGACCCGTTAACACATCAAGTAATAGGCTATAGTACGCTGTGCTGCAGAACAGCGCCATTAACACTGCAGCAGACGTGTATGCACTGACTGTGGCCTTTTTGGAGGGAAGCCCACACTGTCGGCAGGGCTTTAAGCTACAACAAGGGTGACCTCAGTGCCTGATTAATATAACATTTCTGATGTCCATAACAACACACACGCATAAAAAAACGTACCGTGGATTTTGTGAACCGCTCCACCCCTAATGGTAGGACACTTCTTTGATTTTTACTTTGGATAATCGTTTGGCAATGAATCTATTAAGCTTTGAAACAAAACCTCACAAAACATTGCAAATATCTGAATCCTTTCAAGTCATGTTTTTATAATTCAAATTCGATCAATTAAATTGAAACAGCTGAAATAATTTTCAAAATCTGAAAAAACTTACAAATTCAAATCCATTAGAATTAGCCTGAAAATGAAATAAGCCTATATACTCATGTTTCAAATATTCATTTAGAGTATTAATTTTATAAGATTGACTGTTTATCAGAAAATCAGTATCACTATATTCTTCTGGTTAATTTAAAATAAAATAGTCTACATGCTGGTAATGAATGAGTTAAAACAATTTAACAGGTCAGTCGAACTATTATTTACCATTGATTGGACAACAGGCATTCTGCACGTCACACGAGGACCTTGTCAGATGTCAACATTCAATTCATTTATGACCATTGGCCAGAAGTTTACATCACATTAGGCAGTTCTTTCAAGATAATAATCTTTACACGCGTCTTATATTGCTTAACTAAAATGTATTTTTCAAACCTTTGATCCGCTCCTCCGGGTTTCATTTGTTGTGCCGAGAAATACCTGCCCTGTCGCAGGGGCACGCATCGCCCTAATCTCACGGCCATTGATGAGAAAATGGATTCAAAATATGAACGAAAAAGGAAATGTTTAACATATTCTTATTGTTTTCATATTTCTTAAACATAGATGGCTTAAAATTGATAGCTTTGTTGGACAGATAAATTCAAATTAAAAAGATTTTACTTGTATGGAGACACGTTTTAGTCGATGTGCTACAGTCGGTGTGCGATGAATAAAGTCTCTGCTCAGTGGATGCCAATTCCCCATTTTGCTATCAACACCATTCTAGATCATGTCTGACACTGTATTTGTTAAACTTAGAACCTGGAACTTGCCGAAGATTTCCTCCCCGCCTTATTTTCACATTTATTGTCCCAGACTTAGGAAATCCTTACCACAAGAGACCGAGAACAGGAATGATTATGTGGAGAAACTTACATAATTGTAAACACATTATTTATCAAACTAAGCAGGGGAGGGAGATCTCGGCAACTTGAAACCTGCGGAAGATTCCCTCTCCCTATTTTCACATTCCCTCAAATCGCGTTGTCTTTGCGGCTTGGCCGTGATGCTGTTCAGAGCACCTGCTCCGCTGGTTACTCAACTCAAGTTGAAAAAGAACTCTCATGTGCTCTCAGGGCCACTGTTAATTGGTCAGGCTACTTGTAAGCGCACAGCCTGGCAAATGTTGAAAGGGCAATATTGCCATTACTGTTAATATTAGGTGAGTATTGGCATGAGTGTTGCGATTCGATACATGTCGCGATACTTGGTTCACGATACGATATTATCACGATATTGCAGTATCACTATATATTGCCATATTTTCCCCAGCTATCAAAATCAAATGATGAGAAAAAACAGCAAGTGCTGTATATTTTCATCAGAAAATATTGATTACGTATTATTATCCATGTTGTTTGGGGTTTTCTTCCACTGTGACTGCCTCAAATACAGATTTGGTGCTGCACGCACAGTTAAAGGTTTCCACAGCGCTTTCTGCCAGAGTGGCGTTGCAGAGGTAGCCCATTTTCCCATCAATGTTTTATGTAACCATTTGTTTTTTTTTTGAAAATCGATACTAAGAAGTGAAAGATCGATATTATATTGGGCAGCCGAATATCACAATATATCGCCAAAATGATTATTTCCCACACCCCTAGTTAATATACAGTAGAAATGTGCACATTCTGTGATAGAATGTCCCAGGGGATGGTATGGGGGGGTCATTTAAGAAGGGGGATGATTTTTAAGATTTTTTTTTAAGAATGGGGATGCCATCCCCCCAACTCGAGTACTACTACTAACTGTCTTTAAGTTGAATCTTATATCATGACATTGATATACACTATATTGCCAAAAGTATTTGCTCACCCATCCAAATTATTGGAATCAGGTGTTCCAATCACTTCCATGGCCACAGGTGTATAAATTCAAGCACCTAGGCATGCAGACTGTTTTTACAAACATTTGTGAAAGAATGGGTCGCTCTCAGGAGCTCAGTGAATTCCAGCGTGGAACTGTGATAGGATGCCACCTGTGCAACAAATCCAGTCGTGAAATTTCCTCGCTCCTAAATATTCCACAGTCAACTGTCAGCTGTATTATAAGAAAATGGAAGTGTTTGGGAACGACAGCAACTCAGCCACGAAGTGGTAGGCCACGTAAACTGACGGAGCGGGGTCAGCGGATGCTGACGCGCATAGTGCGAAGAGGTCGCCAACTTTCTGCAGAGTCAATCACTACAGACCTCCAAACTTCATGTGGCCTTCAGATTAGCTCAAGAACAGTGCGCAGAGAGCTTCATGGAATGGGTTTCCATGGTCGAGCAGCTGCATCCAAGCCATACATCACCAAGTGCAATGCAAAGCGTCGGATGCGGTGGTGTAAAGCACGCCGCCACTGGACTCTAGAGCAGTGGAGACGCGTTCTCTGGAGTGACGAATCGCGCTTCTCCATCTGGCAATCTGATGGACGGGTCTGGGTTTGGCGGTTGCCAGGAGAACGGTACTTGTCTGACTGCATTGTGCCAAGTGTAAAGTTTGGTGGAGGGGGGATTATGGTGTGGGGTTGTTTTTCAGGAGCTGGGCTTGGCCCCTTAGTTCCAGTGAAAGGAACTCTGAATGCTTCAGCATACCAAGACATTTTGGACAATTCCATGCTCCCAACTTTGTGGGAACAGTTTGGAGCTGGCCCCTTCCTCTTCCAACATGACTGTGCACCAGTGCACAAAGCAAGGTCCATAAAGACATGGATGACAGAGTCTGGTGTGGATGAACTTGACTGGCCTGCACAGAGTCCTGAGCTCAACCCGATAGAACACCTTTGGGATGAATTAGAGCGGAGACTGAGAGCCAGGCCTTCTCGTCCAACATCAGTGTGCGACCTCACAAATGCGCTTCTGGAAGAATGGTCAAA